CCGCCTTCTTCACCACGTTTTCCAATTCGGTCGGAGTAAATGCCGAGAACTTTCGAATGGTGCAGTTGTCACCTAGGTGCCTTACTAGATGGCGGAAGTTCGATAGATTGAAGTCATTGTCCTCACAGTCTAACGTGTGGAGGGTTTTATTCCCCGATATCGCGTCGGCAAGATCACCAATATTGATGTTGAGCATCTGACTGCGAACTCTCAGGTGCTCAATCGTCTGGTTCGACTTGATGGCTTTCAAAGTGTGAGAGAATTCTCGTCCCAAATGCCCCTCATCAAGTCTGGCATCGAAGCCTGATATGTCAAGGAATCTTACAGACTCGTTCTTAGAGAAGAACTCAGCAATGATGTTGCATGAGGTTGTGCTCATGGCGTCAGCCGTGGCCGAGCCAGCCAGGCTCAGACATTCGATGACACTGTTGACTGTCAAAGCCTTCCATAGCTGGACGAAGCTGGTTTCCAAGTTGAACTCGACCATCTGAATTGAAAGGCTCCACGGTCCATAGTTGAGGGAGAGCGCATCGCAGAGGTCATCTATGCCTTCGTCCAGCCGATTGCCATCGATCTCAACTACCATCCTCCGCCCCTGACCCATGCACCGGAAGATTAGTGCAACCTGCTTGCTGTTCAGGCCGCACTGATTAAGGCGCAGAGTTCCGAGATTCCAGGATGCGGCTGCTCCAAGGTAGCCGCACAACACATCGATAGTGGCGTCGTTCAACTTGACGGTTTGTTAGTATTGACCATTGGTACTTGAGAAAAAAAAGGGAGAACGCTTACCGTTATATTGGAGAGATCAAGTTCCTCCAATTCCCACGTGTGAAGTGTTGCTTCCTCGAAAAGAGACTGGCCGGGGTTGAGCCGAGTATTGCCAGCGATGTTGAGCTTGCGAAGGTACTGGAGTTGGCGGAGGGAATACTTGAGTAATTCGTGCTTAATCGTGCCCTGGTTATCAGATGTGTCGATCACCTCCAAAGAGCCGGCTTGCCCAGCAAAAGCAGTCCACAAAGTAGAAAGACCTTCATCTCCAAGTCGACAGCCCGCGAACTTCAACGACCTGAACGAGACAGTATCTAGAAGCAAGGCATTCGCTACAGATATCAGTCAGTACAATAGAAACCTCAGAGCAAGCATAGGGACACGAACCAAACTCTTCAATATCATCCACGGCCACCGGGTTCCCGGACATGTTGATGGTATGGCAAGTCTGAAGTTGTCCTCGGGCAAGCAGAGTGATTGGGCGCAACATCTCGGAGCTGGTTTTGCAGAGTTTTGCATAGTCGGGCTGAGTGCGGCTTTGTTGATTTCCCCGGGTCTGGATGCCCAAAACGTTTGTAAGATCAATGCTGCGGACAGATTCAGACGCGAATGCCAGCGAGTGAAGTTCCTGTGTGAGAACTGGCGCCCCAGTCAAGTGCTCGTAGTGCTCTTCTGAAATTTTGTAGCCTAGCATCGGGTTAGTACACTTCGAGTTCGACAACCATTTCTAGCTGATGAGTCCTCACCGTTAATGGAAGTGTGCACGATAGACTCGTTACCCTGTGAGTTGTCTATTTTGCCAGCCAGTGACGATAAGTCGACGTCCTTGAAGGAAATTGACTTGAAATATCCGTTGTATCGCAGAGACCGAAACACAGCCATGAGTTGGAGAGGAGTATATGTTGCCTCTTTTGGGGGAATAAGGCGGAACACCGGTTGACTCCCATGATCCCAGTGTACACTCCACTGCGGCATACTGACGCCATATGCTGCGCAATAGGCCCTCAAACTCTGCTCAATGCCTCCCAAGTCATTACCAGAGGTAAGCTGCAGGGGAGGCGGGAGGCCCCTGATATCGAAGATGTGCTGTTGGAAATGTTGAGGCCACATGGGTTTTAAGATGCGGTCCATTCTCGTCAACGCCTCGATAATCCGTCGATAGTTGGAGCTGGCAAGGTCCAGTCTCGTCTCGCGCCCGAATGGAGGTCTGTTACATTGTGTCAGAATATACGACGTTGTAAGGTGAATTGGCATACTAACCGGAAGCTCATCACAAACCGCTGCTCGTGTGAGAGCACAGATGCCTTGAATCTCGTCAGAGTGACAGTTCCGAAAGCCGTTGACTTTATCCGTAGGTCGCCTGGTGCTGTTCCATGATCTGCCTTTAACACTTCCAAAAAGTAGCACATATAAGGACCAATAACGAGATAGAAGGACGAACCGTCCACCTGCAGCTGCGTTTCCTCGTTCGCCGTGGCCTTCTGCGACGTCCAAATGTATCGCTTGGCGACAGGAAATATGAGATTCTGCGTCGATCCTGTCGCCTGCTGTGGCTCGTTTGCCGCAACGATATGGTTGATGCGAATTTTGAGGTTTTCGGGGATCATCGAGGTCGCCGGCGAGCGCCTGTTTTTTGCCCTGCACGCCCGCTGGATCGAAACAAGCCACTCATCCCGATCTTGCGGTTGGGAGAAGAAAAGCTGGGCTTTGCAGTACCCGAGGCGAGGCCACTGGGAGAACCACCAAACCTCAACTCCAAAGCGAGGACTGGCCCCTTCCTCGTTGAAGACACCAACAATGGACTGTAGGGGTACTTCAAAGCGGATGTCTGTAACTGGCGACTTGCTGCCCATCAACTGCTGGGATCCCAAGCTGCGACGCCGAGCTTCAGGCGGGCCCAGCTGTGGGAACACTAACCGCGCAGCGTCGATGCTCCCAAACTTGATCAAAGTCTGATCGGTCAGGACCAGATACTCGGACCGAGCCTTAAGTAACGTGACATCCGTCTTCAGATGGCCAGATCGTAGCACCTCCATGGTGTGGTACGTTGGCTCAAAGGAGCTTACCGAGACCTCACTTTGGGAGATGCTACTGTTGAAATCCCTGGAATACCGACGCTGAAACCTCTCGATCATGGACGAGCTCGCCGACGTCTTGGCCAAGCGCTTGGCCGAGTTTGTTCTCTGCATTTTGCTGCTATTGAGCGAGTCAAGAGACGGGTTGCTGAGAGATCGGAGAGCTCGCGATAGCCCTCCTCCTCGGGGCGTCTTGGGCTCTGGCTCAGGGACTTCGAGACTGTCCTGCGGACCCGGTGTAGTTGGCCTAGACCGAGATGATGACATTGTCATCCGCTTCCATTTCTCTGGTACTAATAAGGGCATGATGGCGGTTGTGGTGGAGTAGAACGATACGAGAGGAAGGACAACCAAGCCACCACACGGCCACCACCCACGGGGCTGCCACGATCAATCTTCAGCTGGTGTTGGATGTGATCTGAGGCAATGATGTAAGGAAGCTCCAGGAGAATTGGCGAGATGATAATCAGACCAGGAAATTGGATCCAGTGGACATGCAGGACTGTGTCTCGGTTTTCCCCAGCTATGACCGAATGTCTCAACTCACTGCACGTAGACAGCCCGAGTCGGTCCTAACAGCACCTGATGGCTCCTCTCTCCGCATCCGTCGTTTAGTTAGTCGCAGATCGCTTTCCCGTTTTTAGTTACGCGATCGCCAATTCAGATTGGAATTGAATTGCCGTCTATGAGCGTCTGGGGCAAAACTATGTATGGGACGAAGTCGACTTTTTCAACAACTATGGGGCAGGGGCGAAATAGAAATGCATGGACAGAGGGTGGTGGTCGTCGGGGTTGAGGGTGGCTGGCGTAGGAGCTTCAAGCTCTTACTCGACCTGGAGCGGAGCGGTTGCGGAATCTTGTTCAGCACGGAGCAGGACTGGAATGGGCGCAGAGACAGGGAATGCTGGAGAAAAGAGGAACGGCCGGCTATTATGCAAGAATCTTCAAGACGGAAACAACAGGCGGAGAGGGGCAAACATGGCACAGCAAACAGGGCGGGAATGTGAGGTGAGCTTGTCCATCCACCATGGAACGTACGTAGGGGTCCCTCAGGTGTGATGAGGTACAGAGACCTGGGAGACGGAGCTTAGCTGAGCTTAGCTGGAGCTTGGGTGGTACGTAGGTGGTTGGCAGCAGTCACTTGCAGATTAGCCCCCTTGCCGCCCTTGGAGCCCGCGGAGGTTAAGACGACCGAGAGCTGGGCGGATGCTCCAATCGGGTGCTAGGGCGTCGAGGCGGGCGTTTGCAAGAGACCGTTGTCTGTAAAGCGGCTCTGCAGAAGCGCTAGAGACGGATTCGCAGGCGCTGAGCCACCCGCTTGATTCGTCACGAGAAAAAAGGCGTGTTGGGAGGGACAGAGTCGGACGAGGAGGAGGCGGAGGCGTGGTGGTTGATCCTAGGCTGCTGGCGGCTTGCCGGGTCGTATTGGGCTTGTCCTTCCTCTTCTTGTAAGCTGCAGCCTTCACACCGTCGTATTCGAGAAACGGATGGGATTCCCGTATGTCAACAAAAAGCACGTGCTGCCAAGCTAGCGAATTGAGGGCGTGGCGAAGACCCAGGGGCTAATAAACAATTGCCTGGAAAGCCGAGAATAACGCTGGTGCTTAGCGCGGGAGAGGAGCAAACAAGGCCGATTAGAAAATGACGGAGCTGGCCAAAGGCTATTTGTTCATACACACCACCGAATGAGGTGATAAAGAGGATGAAGGGGGGGGCGGGAGGAGGGGACGGAGTTGGAGTGGGAAGGTGATAAGCAACAAGGACAGATGATGCGGATTTACATGGAAGAAGAGAAATTGCGGAAAAAACAAGACGAAAAGCGCGCTTGTGGCTCAAGCCTCATGCAGAGCTGATGGGAAACGGTGAGGTCACCTATGTTTTCTCGCTGATGAAACGACCAGCCTGCATTGAACGTGCCATGGAATGGTCCGGGCTTGACCAGGGTAAGAATCAAGATCAGTGTCGTGGATCGGGATCCGGAGCTGCAACTACGTAGCACCATTAGGCTCTAGCAGCGAAACTGCCAAACAGCTAGGGAACCCCGTGCAATTTGATATGGGACGATGCAATTGGAGAGGACCCTCCGCAACGTCGACGCTCTGGAAGTCCTCGGTCAGGCCATCACCGAGACGAAAACTCAGAGGTGCATCCGAAGCAATGTTTGTTGCAGACGACGTTCGTGTGAGCCTGTCCCCAAGAACGGGATTTGCTGGGATGGATGCCGGCCCTGCCTACAGGATGACGCTGCCTGTGGGCCTGACCCCGTCTTTATGGATGGTTACCGTGGGAGTCAGCTGCAATGTGCTGCAGGATGCATTGAAGCGATACGAGCAGAGCAAGGCCACCATCCACCGTGTGCGCGCTATTATTATGTAAGGCGAACCAGCGGCTCGGCTCCCAAGTTCGGACCCGCCGTGGTTGAGCAATCTGATGCCGTTGGCGATGCCAGTATATATAGCCCGGAATCCCCCATTCTTGGTCTTTGCTCCCACTTCCGGCCGTTTTCTCTCTAAACAGTCCAGGGGTGCCTTCTTACCTCAGCACCTTCGGTGCGCCATGTAAGAATACGAGTCAACGAGCAATGTGTGACCCTTTCCCAAACCCAGCCCAGCCCCTGTGAGAGGCCGGAGTGAGTTTACGTTCCGTAGAAAGCCCCTGAGCCTCCGTGGTCACCACGAAATCCCCATCCCAGATACATGGTAGGGGATATTGCTGATTATAAATGTATAATAGTGCGACAAGGGGCTCAGTCTTCTGAGATGTCACGGTGGCTACCCCAAGGTTATATCGTGCGACGTATTGATTTTGGCTCAAGGTTGATTTTCCCGGTTTGTTTAGAGTAGGTATTCGCCAATAATGGCAAGCACTCTATTACCTTGGAGTCCCATTGTCCGGTGGCTTTCGATTAGAACTCGCCCCTAGAAAATATCCGAAGTTGCCTTTTATCTTCGTCTTCAACGTTTACTGTGAGCCTGGCGTGGAGCTTTCAAACTATCAAATCGTTCACGATCAACTTGCCATTGGTATTTGACAGTTTCAGAGATCGATTATATTGACTTTTGTCATCTCTTCAATGTCAATTAAGGCGTGACCAGCCGTCGCAGCCTCTTCGACATAGCTCAGATATGATTCTGGTTGGTTCTGAAGAGCTTTGGGGGCTCACAATCAAAGTTTACGCAGAACATTCAATCCCTAGTCAAATGGGGACACAACGGAAAAAGTACAGAGAAATAGACAACGAAGATGAAAAGAAAAAAAGGAAAAGAAAAGATTATGATATCCGCGGCCCTGTTCAATGGTCAAGGAATGTAAAATAGGCACCATCCGAGTGACTGCGAGTTGTGCGGCGCGGAGATGCCCCCAGTTGCTGCCGCCGAAAGTCGGTAGCTCAGGACCAGCACTGCTTCCCACATTGAGTTTCGGCTATGGCTTTGGTAAGATGGTGGGATCTTATCAGCCGAGAGACCACGAGCATAATGGGACCAGCTTACAATAAAAAATGAGAAGCCCAAGTTAAGATTTTCCGGGAGAGCGCGTTATGCAGTCACTCGTCGTCCCCCACAATGGGTCAGACGACAGGTCTAATAAAGGGAGCCACACGAGGATTTTGATAGATCAATTGGATCATTGGAGCAGAGCCTAATAAACAGGCTATGTGATCCATACTATAATCTGCTAATGATTGCTACAGTCATAGAAGGCTCAGGGAAGAAGAGATTCCAACTTCCTTTCTTTTCACATCGGACAAGATCAGAAGAAAGCCATGACCAGTTAGGGAATGAATAGAGAGTATCTCCATCGCGTCGGACTTTATTGCCTTTTCTAGACATGTCTGGAGTTTGCCTGCGGCGTCGTTAGAATGTTCGCATGCCCCTCACTTCCCCGCGGTCGGTCTCTCTCGGGTACTCGGTGCTGATTGGTATCTGCATAACATCTTGTGATAACCTACCGCATCTCCACCTACTTACCATGCGTAGTTGTCATCGGGCTGAAGGAGTTTCTGAGATGCACATCGTATGTCCAATGCCCTCAATGGAAGTCCCAATGGATGTGATTGGCACCAGGAATGGGGAAACCCGATAATCATCCCCCCACCCGCGACAGATCACCACTTTCGTCCCAACCAGATGAGTTAGACTGCGCGTTCCTTTTTCCGCCACTACTCAATTCGCACCAGCCACACTGGCCTATTGGTAGCCTCATACATAGAAGCAACAAGAGACAGGGAGTGAGAGGGTTTGATTTTCCTGCTTAGATATTTCTGCAGGGTCGCCCTCGATACTCATAAACTTCGCATCACTTGCTTCAAACTTCCACCATGAACGCCCATCATCTCTCTTTCGAGCTGCCTGATTCGGTGGTTCGGTGTTCGGCTTATCCCACTGGTGCGTGGCTAGTTACCTTTGAAGCTGTCGCCTAACCACGCACTTACCATTACGGTAGTTGCGCACCGTCAACTGCACTAAAATAGGCGAACCGCCCCCGGTCGCCGACTTTCCCAACAATTCCGTGGCGGGGAAGAATATTAATTCACACAGCAAGTCTTTTCGGCCCCTTCGCAATATAAGGCCACAAGAGCCCTCCCGCAGCCGCCCCTCTTCCTCAGCCAAGTGTACACCGCCAACAGAGTGCGATTCCCCAACTCTGTACACTCACCATGAGCGAGATATTTGCCGAAGATGCTGCCTTGGCGCGGAGAGACTATGTCTTCATCCCCGCCGGCCTCCTCATTGCCGGCACCTGGATTTGCAAGAGGGACTGGACCATCTACGCCGCCATTGTAGCTGTCCTGTTCGGCGCATACAACCTGTACGCTCTCCGTGAGTATTTCCCACGCGATCCTCGAGTCTTGTCGGGTCTCTCGTCTAACCACTGTACCCCGCAGGAATCGTACCTGTTCTCAAGCCCGACACGTTCCAGGAGTTTGAGCTCGCAGAGAAGACAGTCATCTCCCACAATGTAGCCATGTGAGTGAATTTCCCTGCCAGCCTGCCAATCCATCCATTGGGGAGGCAATGCGATCCCAGAATTCAGAGACTGACCTGGCCAATCCGCCTTCAGCTACCGATTCAAGCTCCCCGCAAAGACCTCGATTCTCGGCCTCCCCATCGGCCAGCACATCTCCATCGGCGCCCCGATCGAGCAGCCCGATGGCACCACCAAGGAAATCGTCCGCTCCTACACCCCCATCTCCGGTGACCACCAGCCCGGCTACTTCGACCTCCTCATCAAGTCCTACCCCCAGGGCAACATCTCCAAGCACATGGCCTCCCTCATCGTCGGCCAGAGCATCCGCGTCCGCGGCCCCAAGGGTGCCTTCGTCTACACCCCCAACATGGTCCGTCACTTTGGCATGATCGCTGGTGGCACCGGCATCACCCCCATGCTCCAGGTCATCCGCGCCATCGTCCGCGGCCGTGAGAAGGGCGACCGCACCGAGGTCGACCTCATCTTCGCCAACGTCACCGCCCAGGATATCCTCCTCCAGGAGGATCTCGATTCCCTGACCAAGGAGGACGCCGGCATCCGCGTGCACTACGTTCTCGACAAGCCCCCCGAGGGCTGGACCGGCGGTGTCGGCTATGTCACCGCCGACATGATCACCGTGAGTAAACCCCCTTTCCCTCGTTCTTGCGAACCGGGGCTCCATTTACCCAGAATCGTATAATTAACCATTCTCTTCAGAAATGGCTTCCCAAGCCCGCCGACGACGTCAAGGTTCTTCTTTGCGGTCCCCCTCCCATGATTAGCGGTTTGAAGAAGACCACCGAGAGCCTGGGCTTCAAGAAGGCCCGCCCCGTCAGCAAGCTGGAGGACCAGGTCTTCGCCTTCTAAGCCGCCTCATCCGATCTGAAGCGCAGAACGCAATACCCGGAGGAATAATGTTAGATCCTCCGATGTATGTTAGATAGTGTTTAGGGAATGAAAATCATGAGCAGAGCACTGTTATGCGAAGGATTCTTTCAAATAAAGATCAAAATAAGCGATTCTCTTACACAGTGAGAAGAAATACTGGCTAATTGATACATGAACGAACCTTCTTCTTCTTTTTCTCTTTTCCTGTGTTTCAAATTAAGGTTCCATTTGGCATCTTCTCATGCTAAAACGTCGCGAGGCTGAGACCATCCAGGAGAGATTACGAACAATTGGAATGATTTCTTGGGCACTGCGACAAGACAAGAGTATTTTCTCAGGGGCCTATATTCATTGGAAGGCTGGAAGCATAGAAAAGATAACAAGATGACCTTGGATAGTTTTAAACCCCTTTCCTAGTCGAACGCGGTATGTAGAAAATGGCGATAGATGAAAAAAAAAAAAACAAGATAGAAATCGTCCAGAATTACCCAATCAATCAAATCATTCGTCACTATCGTCAACGTCCATGTCCGAGTCGGCAGCCTTGGCACCCCTTCCTCTACCTCGTGTTGACCTGGAGCTCTTCCGCGCCTCGGCTGCTGGCTTCGTCTTCTTCTTAGCCACAGCTCGGCGTGCAGAGGGCTGTTCTTCCTCTTCCTCTGCCTCTTCTTCCACCTCCTCGTCATCTGAGTTATTCTCATCCTTGTCTTCTTCGGCCTCGTGGCCGTTCTCGTCATGCTCGTCCTCAGACTCTTCTGCCATATCACTGTTTGAACCGTAGTCCCACTCGGCAACTCCATCCAGCATTTCCTCCTCGTCCTCTTCATCATCCCTTTCCCTGTAGTTTGATGACACATGTGCGCGACCACTCCGCCTGCGCTCTGACAGCGGCACCGGTGATGAGGAGACGTTAGGGTTTTTGGTTGACTTGCGCTTGGGTGTCTTCTTCTTTGCGCTTGTCTTGGCTGGTTTGGGTTTCCCTCGAATAACGGTTTTGATTTGGTTCTTTGGTCTCTTCGCAGGGTGATCCGCCGACTCATGAAGAGACTTCCTCTTCTGCAAATACGACGAAAAGAATGTCAGCATAGTTCTTGTACATTAAAGGGGAAAAAGCAACCATTCATCCATCTTACCTTCTTGCGCTCCTGAGCTCTGATTAAATTATCAAGCTTCTCATCGATTTCGTCCGGAATATAAAGCTTCTTTGCAATTTGCTGTGCAACCTCGCTCGATGGCAAAGCTGCGTAGATGCCTGTTGGCAGCCCGACTTTGTCCGGCCAAGCCTGGAAGCTCCAATTTCGCTTTTCTTGGTATTTACGAATCACAGCCTGAGCCAAGTCGCTGAGAACATAAAGGTTCTCGCTCTTCTCTGGATCGAGAGCGTCACGGGTCTGCTTTACGCGCTCTGCATACTTGTAGATGTGAGAGATGTTGCTCTCCTCCGCAACTGTGCCGAGATAAAAGAGGATGTACTTTGCGAAATCGACAAGATCCTCCTGTTCGGAGCTATAGTCCGGGTGGTGCGCTAAAAGGGGTATCAGCCTGCCCATCATGGCTTCCAGAATAGGCTTCTTGTTCTCCGAGTAAAAGTGAGCACGAGACCGAATCCAGGTCTCGACTCTGTTCTTGACATCCGTCACCGGCTCAAAGGCGACAAGGAAGAGGATAGTATAGAAACGCGCCCGTAGTTTGCCTCTAGTCAGGTAACTCTGAAGCTTTTCCATAAAGCTACAGCGAACCTGAAGCTCGCTATCTTGAACAAGTTCAGCCAACTTGTTGAAGCTTGCGGCATCCAACTGATCATCGTACTTCTTCACTGCGCACAATTTCAGAATCGACTGCCCAGCAAGTAGCCTGAGGCGCTTTTTGTGGTGAGTTGGCGTATCCTTGACTTTGCAAAATTCGCCCTCCTGAACAACGAGTGTTTTTAGAAGTTTGAAAAGGGGCTTGACTCTCTCTTGCGAATCAGCATCTTCGACAGACGATAACGCACGGTTGACTAAAATCTTCAACGCCAAAGTCTTTGCTTGAAGTTCCTCGTCCATATCTGCTTCAGATACCCAAGACGGATCTGTGGGTTTGGCATCGGTGCGCACCTCTCGCAAGGTACCATTGATGGTCAGCTCACTGATTGCATCATCGGAATCCGCGGTAACGGTTGGTGCCAGCCTTGCCAACTGGCTAATAGTGGCAAGTTTGTTGAGGTAATTGGGTGACCCAAATTCCAATCCTTTCATCACTTTCTGTAGAAGAGTTGTCGCCGTGACCTTGCTTTTGTCATCATTCTTTGCGAGCAGAATGTTGACAGCATACTTGGCCGCTTTCGGGGGGGATCCGTAGAGGGCGTAGTTCATGAGGGTTTGCGTGAAGCCTCTATCCGGTTTCACTTCATCTGGATACTTCTTCGAGTAAGAAGAAAATGCCTTGAGCATGTCCACAACAGCATGGTCATTAGGCTTGCTTGCTGCTGGGGCCTGATCGATTATTGACTTGCGAAGCTCCTCGGAGTGTGCCTTGAATAGGTCTGGATTTCGCGTCGAAATTTCGTTCAGGACGGAGTGGGCAACGCTGGCGAGGCCATCCTTATCGCTCTTGGAGTAATCCATAATAGTGGTTAGATGACTCCGGTTGAAGATCAAGGAACCTGATCTATAGAGAAGAGGAATGAGGGTATCCAGCGAACTTGCCGCGTTGCTTTCCTGCAGCTTGGGGATAAGCTCGTGGATAGATCGGCGCACTTTCTGGAAGTCACTCTCCGATTCAATCGTGTACTTGATGAGTTGATACGCCCGTCTGTCATTGAGCTTGGCAAGTTTGTGCAGATCGTTGCGAACCTTGAGTTGGTCAGGAAAATATGCACCCAGCCAGTGCAGGGTCTTGTTCATCGATGCTTTGATCTTCTCTTCACTGCCCTCGACATTGACGCCACCATTGTAGGCCTCGCATTGCTTGACGAATAACCCGACTGCAATGGCAAACTGAGGCTGCCGTGCCTGCATTGCAAAGAATGCTTTCTGCGCTGGCGAATCGAGAGACTTTAACATCAGAAGAATCCTCTCAGCGCGAAGTGTATCTTGCTCTGCGGCGCTTAAGCCACCACTCTTACTCTGACTCGACCCAGATTTTGCCTTGCCGTCCTTCCCTTTAACAAGAGGATATTTCAAAGGAACCAAACATTCAAACATGACGCGATCAAGCAGAACATTCAAATCGGCATCATTTGCATAGAAGGCGTTGAAAATGCGTGATGGGACACCAGCCAAGCAGGCCGTAACGGCCTCCTGACCATCAGCAATCTCCGCGGCACCCACTGCCCACAGCTTTCCAAGGAGCACCATAGCCTCAACTCGAACAGCTTGCTTTCGATCTCGGCTGCGATCTCCGAGATTGGCGAAGATGGAGCCCTCCTTGTCAATACCGCCAGCGGTCCCGAGCTTCAAGATGATATCTCGGAAATCAAAGAGCTCAATCGCCTTTACGGCTGCCAGCCGGACCTTTTCCTCACTATCGTTGAGCTTCTCCGCAAGCGCCTTGATCAACTCATTTTCTTCCACTCTGCTCAAGCCGATCCCGCCAGCGGATGTGGCCAAAATGTAGCCCGCCGCAGTTGCCCAGGCAGCACGAATAACACCTGCCTTGTCATTTTTTCGCCCGACAAAGTTCCTGTACGTGGTAGAATGTGTCTGAGCAAAAGAGTGGGGAGAATATGGCTTTGTCAATGCATTCCCGCTCTCCAGCGACGTGCTCGATGGATCGTCCAACAGTCGCAGGGGAGGATATGCAGTACAATCTAATACAGGTGGGGGAGGAGGCCCAGCCGCTCCAATGCCGGATATCATGTCTCCAAAGGTCTCAGTGGCGAGTTGTCGAAGGTACAAGTTGTCCGCAGACAACTCTGCGTCTATTTGAGGCACGACGTTTTGAAGTATGGTGGGTGCGGTGCGCCAAAGTTCACGAATCAGAAGATGGGCTTGGCGAAGACTTTTAAGGTCATTTTCCGAGGGACCTGCATTCGCGTCTTCTTCGTCTGAATCCTCTCCTTGCTGGTGGCCGTTGGATTTCGTCGCAAAACTGGAAGCCCCAATAATGACATCGCTAAAGTATTGGCTCACGTATCTTGTCATTTTATCAGCACATTCGTTGCATATTTTACTCGCCATGAGGTAGGCTGGACGCTCCGTCTTGTGTAGCAAGGTGGATTGGTTTCCGTTTTGTTCCTTGCTGCGAACGCCACCCGGTGGTGCTGCCCGCAGAAACTGACTGATGATTGCGTCGATGACACTCGCCGGAACACTGCCAGGCGCTTCGTCGATGAGAAGAGAGAGCATGGTACCCAGGTGAATCTCGACGTCCTTGGCAACCTGCTCCCCTGACTTTGACTTGGAGCTGTTGGAAATACCATCAAATGTCGAGTTGAAGAGCTCAAGAACAAGTTTGTCAGAGCCCGAGATATCGAAAATGAGGAGTACGCTCTTCACTTCAGTCAAAGACAACAGAACGTATTTATGTTGCATGTTGTAGGGGTTCGTTGGGTCGTAGAGGGCGGGGAGGATGTCTTTGACAAAGAGACTGAACATCATCTGGGAGCGTATGTTAGCATGAGAATTGGCCAATAGCGTCTTGCGGAAGCGAGTAGGCATGCCTTGAGCTGATCATTGGTGAAAGGCGCATCGGGAACAAAGAGGCGCAGGATGTCGACAAGGCAGCATGCTGTATATGCCCTTACACCACGATCCTTGTGTTGGATGAGATTTCGATGCGCCAACTTCTCAGCCACATCCTTTACAGAGTCGAGGTCGATGGCTCCCTGATCATGATCAGCGAGCTCTTTGGACAGCCGCTCCAGGCGGGCGACCAGAGTTGCGCTGGCAATTGGCTTCGCAGGGCGCCAGGATAGCTCATCCCTGAATTGTAGAGTCCTGACTTCGTCGTCTTGATCCTCCTCTTCCTCTACGGCCGACTCGTCTGCTTCTTGGTCGACTTGCTCTGACTCTTCGGGTTCCTCAGGTTCGGGCTGCTGTTCCTGGACGGCTTCTTCCTGCTCCACGGGCTCCTCCTCCGGGTCGCGGCCACGGCCTCTGGCTGGGCGACGGCGCGCCATGATGAGCTGTCTGCGATGGCAACTTTTGGTGCTGCGTAGATTGGGGGAGTACAAGATGGGCCCAATGCAGTCGCGCTCGGTCGCAGCTATGGTGGGCTTTTTGACTGGTTGTTATTATGGTGGAACCGCGAATATTGGCTGTAGCTTTGCAGCGGGTTGCTTGACCAGGATGCGCTGAAACTCCTAGGAACAACAACCTGATTGATGAGCCCTCGCTAGTGATGCGCAAACAAGGGGATGAAATGAAGCTCGACTGCGAAAGCGGACGCGAAGGTGGGACAAGGCTCTTGCTGCGGACCTTGAATCAATCGGAAGTGTGGTTCATTAATGTGATGTGGAAAACAGAGCACGTACTGCCAGTCCAGACGCCTGGAGATAGATTGGCCCGTCTGTTGGAGTAATTGGACAATCCTACCTTGGAGAACGCGACGCGCGAGGCAGAGGCGTGATCATACACCCCTCCCCACCAGAGCTCAGCGGTACCGGGTACCTATGCTGAGGTAACCCAGGCAAGCAGCTGACATAAAATATAGCACACCAAAGCTCTTTTCACCCAAGTCAGGGACCTCGATAGTTTGATAATAATATCAAACGCAATAATAAGAATATTATAGATTATTCTATAGGTTGTATTTAGCTCGATATTGTAGCTATTATTGGTCAATTGGTCTGATGTTGTGTTGAAATTCAACACTGGAGGTTCTGGGTATGCTATATTTTATGTCAGTCGCTTGCTTGGGGCTTAACGGTGTAGTACAGTGTACTTCGGAATGGTGGGGCCGCATCTCTCGTCCCGGGTAGGCGCATTCGAGTGGGAATATCCATCTTTGTGTCTTTCCTTCAATTGGAGACATTGAGAATTCGAGAATTTCAATACTGAAGCCGTCTCTTTTTAACATATAGATGATGAAAACCTGCAAATCAAACGGGCTCGGCCGACGCTCCAGCTGCAGGCAGTATCAAGATGGAGGCTACACAAGGGAGCGATTCCGTAGCCGTGCATCCTTGTTCCCGCAGCAATCTCGCATGAGCAGTGTCACGACCGATTTTAGCTATATGTTTGCTGCTGAATGGGTCGGTCCTGGGAATGGGTGTCATATACTGGGATTGACTTGATGCTCTGAAGTTGATCCCTTAGGCGGCCGAAGGAAACCTGTCCAAGTTGACATTAATACAAACAGCCCCTCGACCCCCAATGAGTCGTAGTTGCGGCCCTTTGCTAGCAATATTCCTCGATTTCTTGAGGAAAGCAGTTGGGATATTCATGTTTCCGTGTTCCAAAGTCCCTACTACCGGTATTGCACTCATCGCCCCCCGCCCAAAGTCATTCACTTGCTTCTTACCTGGCTGCATTGTGATCCAACCGAGTCTGGGAGAATAGGAGACTCAATATAAAGCCATTTCCTAAGAAATCTGGAATTGGAATTCATTCTGGTTGTTCTGTTTGAATATTGTGTACCCGTGAGTCAAGTAGCACGCTACAAACTCTTCGGTATACACACTGCCTGATCAGGTTGACCATTAGAGTCCTACTTCAGACCGCCCTGGCTCATGCTCACTCCCGCGTCACTTCCAAACAACACCGTCTGCCCCCGACTTCAAGCATTATTTAATGTCGAACGAGGTATGTGAAATGCACCACTCGGATCTCTGCCTGATCTCGCTGGTTTTCATCTTCTATCTGCGTAATAACCCGCACCGTCGCCAACAGTGCTCCTCTACCAGCACTCCACTTGCAGCTGTCAACGGTGATTCACGGCCGTCAACCAAGTCCACGCCAAACAGCTGATCCGACTCGCTCGTTTGTTTACCTGTTGCGTGATTCTTTCGCGTTCCTCTTTCGCGCTTTAGTTATTTCTCATCTCGCATCCACCTCCCTCAACAATAACATTTCTCCCCCCTCACATCCGTTTGCCAACAAACACATTCTCTCCATCCCAACCACATTTGACTCGACGATACTCGTTATCATCAATCAACAACGCTCATTTCAAGTTTGATAGCCTTTCCATTCCTTTCATTTCGAGATTCAACCAAAACATTTGGTATGTTGCACCTCTTCTCTTGACCTCAGCTCTCGACTTCTCGTGGCTGTGTCCCTCGACCTGGGATTTCACCACCTCTTCTTCGCCCTTTCACAGGCTTCATTCAACGCCCGCCATACATCCGAGACAGTGCTGACAACCAAGGAAATAGATACCACTTTCGTCAGTTGTGTTTCCAAAAAAGCCGTTACAAGTAAGTTTCCTTCATCCTGCATCTCATCATCCACACAGCTAATCGCCACCCCAAAACAGTGAACGATCTCAAGAAGAAGGACCCGGAGCGTGCAGATTCCGCCTCCGACTCTACACCTGTCGCCAAGCACAGGCATCATCTGAGCTTGAAGAAGGCAATCATGTGGGCTATTCTTCTCGCCTTTGGCGTCGGCGCTGTTTTTGGGCTCGGCGTCCTCGCCTCCGTTTGTGGTACGTTCTCCTCCCCGTTTGCTCTGCTTCGTCCCGTTTTGTGGTACATGAGTCCATCTAACCGGCCCGTTACCAGAACGTTCGCTCCACTCGAATCATGGTCTCGCTGTGTTGGAGTCTCCTGAAGTCCACAAGGATCCCAAGCTGGACACTCGCGATGACGGCCATGCTGAAGAGGAATTCCCCCCTTCCATTATGCCTCCTGTCCCACGCCTTGTCGAGGATGTTCCCATGTCAGTGGCGTCTCCCACTCCTACTCCTTCTGGTGGTGAAGGTCTTCTGATCCCTATCTCGTAAGTCTTGGAAACCTGGATGCCAACCGCCCCTTAGCTGTCTTCTTAGTGCCATATCTGACAGAGAAAACCTACATTTAGTACTCAGACTGAGCTGTCTACCATCTACAGCTTGAGCAGAATCCCCAAGTCAACTGAGTATCCTGTCACTGCGGAAGCATCTACCTCCGTCGCTGAAGATACCAGCTGCATCGTGTCCGTCGTGACCACCGAGACTAAGATTGCTGTTGTCACCGTCACCGTCATCCCAACCACTTCTGACCACTGGTCTGGATACTTGACAATCACCGGCGACGCATCCACCGTCACAGCAGTCAACACTGAGACTTCTTACACCAGTGGACTGCCAGATGCCACTGTCTCCGGAAACCCATCCACCATTACGGATGTCCAGACACAAGTCTCAGTCACCTCGGGTCTCCCCGACGCAACCGTCTCCGGGAATCCATCTACCATAACCGATGTCCAGACACAACTCTCAGTCACCTCGGGCCTCCCCGACGCAACCGTCTCCGGAAACCCCTCGACCGTCACCAACCTCGACGCCACCTACTCCCTGACATCAACCTCCACCGCCCGCTACAACACAAAGCTCACCATCGTCATCTCCGACCTCTGGCAGACCACCTCGTCGACCCATTCCACCGTCACCACGGTGGTCACGAGGGTCAGCACCGCGACCACCACCGAGTCCGCCGCCCAGCCCTACTCAACCCCCGTCGACGACGACAAGGACACCAGCGCCGCCGAGGTCTCCTACGCCTCCAACGTCGACGGCGCCACGGCCTCCTCCGACAGGCACGAGACCATCTCGTCCACCGCCAGCATCACCGCCACTGTCTTCCTCAGTGAGCCCCCCTACCCCAGCAACGGCACCGCGTCCTCCCACCCCTATGGGACGCTGAGCAGCGTCGTTGCGCCTACCACCCCGGTCGTGGTCTCGGGAGCCGACGACAGAGCTGGACCGTCCGGCACCGGCCTCCATCATGTTCACGCCATGGTGCTCGTCGCAGTCATCATGTTTCTCTACTAATGGTAAACCGCATTTTCAACTCCAGGGGATTGGAGATAGGTGAAGAAGAAAGCTTGGAGATGGTAATTTAGTCTCGAGTTTCCATACTAGGAAACACTTTACGGAGAAAGAGACAGGCCTGAGATAAGGGCTATTGTTCGGAATGAAAAAATGTAATGACACGAATTATGGGAGTCTCAAATCGGTTCGAAATTTGGGGCAACAGTAGTGCGTCATATCCTGGTTTAGTACCTTTGGGACACGTCAAATAAACCAGGTTAGGTAGCACAATAAAAAATGAATCTTCATAAGTTGAATGAACATGGGAAAACTTGAACACGAGACTATTCGCGGATTTGAAATTGAGCCAAGAAGTGAACTAGAACTGCTTCTTGAAATAAAAGAAACCAACGCCTGACCTTATCCAGCCAACGAAATCAAAGGAAACCCAGTCCTTGTTTAACCAGCCAACTCCGGCCTCATAACCTAGGCAAGCTCACACCACTGGCTCTGGTCATTTTGACCCGCCTTGTTGGCGCGCCTTCCAGGCAAGTCGAATATCATTTTCTTTTTGGAGAAGATTCTGCTCTGTGACGCCATCCTGGATGCTCTTGAGGACACTAGTAACAGTACTACTGTGGTTTGCCTCAGGTTTATCGATCCTAGACCTGACGATGCGCCACCGGCGCTGCTGATCCAGGTAGCATTCGACGATTATGTCGTCGAGAGGAATCTGCAGAGCCTTGAGTCTTTCCCACTCTTCTTCAGTTATGTGCACATCTTCAAAGTACTCGTATTTTTCTGGACCATCATGGCCCGTGTATACCAGCAACTGTGATATTGGCAAACTGTCATAGTCTGTCCACGACCCGAGACCTTCCCTCCGCTCCTCCTCCGTAGGCTCGACATCGTGAAATTTAAGTTTCAGCCGGAAGTCCACCGTGTTATCCTCGGGCTGCTTCCACTTCAGAATGTGGGGATCTGTGCCATATTTGTAAGGAGTGGTCCGGCATGTGAAGACCAGGCCATCGTTTTCATGTCGAAGATTTGGGAGGATTTTCTCGAACATATTCTTCAAGCCGTAACCAACCTGGAATTCTTTCGACTTGAGGATAAACGGCTGGAACTCTATCTCGTCTGGAAAGTTCTTGAAGAGCGTCTCGTACGGGATCCAGAGGCGTTCCCTGAGGTACGCTAGGCGCTTGTCCAAAGTGCGGTCCATTAATCTGAGGCCATCCATCACCAAGCAGTCGAACATGTAGAAAGTCGGTCGTTTGCTTCCATCATCCAGCTTATCCCATACTAATTCGCCATCGATAATGGTTTGAGTGTGAAAACCTGTGGGGTTGTCGGGAAGAGGCAAGTGCAGATTCGAGTTGTTGATGTACCAGTAATCGTTCTTTCGATCGATCAGGAAATGCGCCTCTCTCCCCTGATCCTCGGTCGAGTAGAGCAAGTAGCGGATTCCGTCCGACTTTTCGCAAACGAAATAACTACAAATTGATTAATGAAATCAAGACAGCGACAGCTTTAGGGGGGGTTTCCTACTCCTTCTTGGTAAGCTCGTCCAGATGCTGTTTGGCAAAGCTAACAGGTTGCGCGCCGGGGAAACTCGTTTGAGATCGGCCAAGGAGGTCGGCAACTTCTTTGCGCAGCTCGAAGCGTTGGGGACCCTCCGTCCGTATGCCTGGCTGTTCCAAGGACGTGATCGGATGGTTGATATTACTGGCCATTGTCGTGATGGTGAGGGTATTCCAAAAGAGAGAAGCAGAACGGAACGCGGCACGGCGGACTTTTATAGACCACCTGGCTGGCTGAGGAAGTCGCGGCTCCCGCCTAGCGGAAGGTGCAAGTGAAGCTTCAAAGATGCACTGACGAAGGCAGGTAGCGTAGCAAAAAGTGGGGAAGCGCGTGGAGGTCTAAGGCTGCCAAGAGCTACCAACCTAGTCAATTGGGTGACATTGAAATTGAGACACCCAAACATTAGGCTGCTTATTCTCAAGTCTGCGACTATTATTCTCAGATTATTAGGTGCTAATAATATATATTTCGGAGATAATATACTATATGTATTACTTTCTTTCATTTTGTACTGCTGAATTTCTCGATTTATCTCAAAAAGTAGTCTATTCATAATCATTCTTCCATAGGTGTCTTATTTCTTCTGTCACCCGCTTGCAAGCTAAATGGCTGTCAGAAAAGCATAGACCGTAGAGTCACCTCGACAGAATCATTGAGTCATAAAAGCTAATTCTTTCGTGTATTAATAAATAATACTATCTAATTATTACTCAATATTTATTAATACCAAACACTATTATCTATCATTAATCAGGTTGTACCAGAAAGTTGAGTTTGAAAAACACTTTTGCAGTCCCAGTTATTCTGACACCCACTTGGTCTGCCTGGTTTTGGTTATGTCTTTGGTTGGAGAAAAAAAATATTAAACTTCGCGTCTGTCCGCCGACGGGGAAAAGGTAGAATTTTTACCAATTGTCACATTAGGGGTGCAAATGAAGTTGTTGTATGATCTTGATTGATTCAATGCAGTTAGCTGCTGCAAGCTAGCTATCAATAGGTCGCTACCTACCTAATGTTATCAATATACTGACAAGTGTTTGTCGGCTTACGGTGCCTTTCATTACACCAGTCCCTGTTATTCTGACGCCCACTTTACTAACATAGGTATGTAATAACTGCGCCCGCCGAGCACTCTTGGCCACACCTACCTTGAAGGTCTCTTTAGTATGGTACAAGGGCGTTACTTTGGTTGATAATAATAAAAAAAAGGAAATTCAGTGTCCATCACCCCCATCGGTATTCGTTTCGACAAGCACGCCGCCGCCTAACGAGCTTCTTTATGGTGGCTTATGGTAGCAATATTTTTAGAACATTAAATATATACTTTGATGGGAAATATTAATCAACGTTATTCACATAAAGCTTCAACTCTCTTCTATCTTGTCAATCTCAGTCCTGGCTTCTTCCCATTGCTGCTTGCTTTTCTTGGCCCATTCGATTTGACTCTTAGCGTAGGCGAGCTGTTGCGGTTAGTATTACTTGAGTGATCAAACAGACGGGAGGCTTTTGTAGTGCGGAGACCTACCATGTAACGGCGCAAATCTTCTTCCTTCTCATTCTGAAATCTCTTCAAATCTTCGAGAACGCTGGCACTTGCAATTTTCACGTCAGTCTCAGACACAACCTGAGCCTGCTCAAGCTGTCCAATAGACTCCCGCGTCTTTCCGATCGTGTCTCGTCTTGTTCGCTCGGGGTCATGATCCACAACACCCTGTACCGCGTGACGGATCGGGCCAAAGATCTTATTCGTAAATGAGTTCCCGCTGGGAATCTTCCTATGGCCCACGCTAGTACTCCTTTCTGGGACACCTTGGCTCGCTGAGGGGGCCGCTGACTCCCCATGAGTTGGAGGGAAATCAGAGTCGATGGATTCTGTATCCTCTTGACTTCCGTCTCGTCTGTGACCGGGCGCCGACTCCTTAAGACTCGTCGATCGTTTGGGTGGCGGTGATATTTGTTGGCTGCTCGAGAGATATTGGTCGATACGTCTAGCCTCGGCTTCACTGCGCTCTAGTTGGTCCAACAGAGCCCTCTTCTTGTTTAATTCATCAGTAGTGAGGTCTTGCTGCACGCGCTTCATGACCCTGTACCGCAGGACACTCCGAACCACCCCTGCAAACTGCGCGCTCTCTCTCATCGGTTCGGCAAAACTCGCTCCAAGGGAACCCGAAAGCTCTTCCGTAGCAATGTAAGATAGATCTGCTGCCTGTCCAACTTTCTCAATGGCTGGCCCTAATGTGGGAGCTGGTTCAGATAAGGCAAAGGCGTTGTATTTTGATCCGAGCTCGCAAAGATCGGCAGCCAATGATGAAAGGTGGCTGAGTGTACGACGATTGACTTTCTCCATAGGACCTGTCAAGAGGTTCTCTAGTTCCTTGATCGAAGCTTCATATGATATGAAATATGTGTCAAGCTCCTGCTCGCTCATTCCCAGGGAATCAGGTGGGAACCGTCTAATGCCATTTGCACCACCCTGGATCGCGGATGCGTTCATATTATAGGAAGAACTTCCCGTGGTCTTTAGCTTTGCGGAGGTTGATGGTACGGGGAGGTACGCGTGCGCCTCGGAAGGGTTTGCTGGATCCAAGGGAGGTGCCCGCAAAACAGACTTTGGAATCGAGGCAACCGGATGAGAGTGCAAAACCTCGCTCTACACCACAGTTAGAATCAGCTGAAGACATGAGAGAATGCTTGTGTGCGTACCCAGCTTGCATTAGGATCAAGGAACCTCCACCACACCCCATCCGTTACTACGGCCTCCATTCGACGGCAACGGTTCAAAAACACGGCCAGCATACGTTTCCGCAGATCAATGATTTGCTGGTCCTGCTTCGCGTTGGTAGGGTTGGCAGCATAGTCCGCCATGGTATGTTTCTCAGGAATCGGTGGGATGACCAATGTGGGGTGCAGACGGGTGAGCGCATCACGAAGCGAGGCGAACTCTGAATAACGTCGGCGCACTTCCAGATCCTAGTCCTGAGGTGTCAGTAGAAGTCCACGTAGTCTAGTCTCGAGAAAAGGAGACACAGCTACAAAACATTTGAAGGAAGTTTGCCTTACCCCGGTGCGGATAGTGTACACGATATATCGGCCGCCGCTCTCTACGCTCTTTCCAGCCTCGGTGATAAGAATAGGCAAATCTGGATACTCGTATAAAATCTGCTCGATACGGCTGTCATAGCCCCCCGGTTTACGCCTGACTGCAGCTCCAGATTTCGCTGCCACATCGTCATCGCCATGTCCGAGGTTTCCGTGCGGCCTAGCAACCGGGACTTCTATTTCATCTTCGCTCTCCGAGGTAGGTGTCGTCGCTTCGATGTTTTGGACTGCAGCACATTGTGAGTTAGGGAGCTCCGTATTCTCACTCAAACGAAACAGAGGCCGATGGGATCCTGGGCAACCATCGCCTAAATCTACTTACAGTCATGGGAGATTGGGGATGTGGGATTGGCCGAGGATGATGTCTGCGAGTCGCGGCGATCGAAGCTAGTGCCATAAGGATTGTTGTCTTCGTCGTTCCACATGATGGATAGATACTCTAAGGATGCCGGGTTTGATTCGCGTCTTTCCCTTGGTTTGTGGCCGAGCTCGAAGCTGTACCAGCTGCCAGAAATCTGGTGATCACCTGGTTATGATGCGCTAGCGGAGGAAGCTGGTAGAGGGAGGGGCGGCGCAAATCCCCAGGCAGGAAGTAGTGTATGCTTTCGGGGGCGGAAGCTGCATTAAAGTCCAGGCTTTGTACTTGTGGGTGCTTTGTCTCATCAGCTTCTGAGATTTGGTTGGGATAAGGCAGGCCCGTCGTTGCTGGTGTTGTTGCTAGCGGAGGCCGAGTCGAGTTGAGCTGAGCATGAGGTCTAAACGGGTGGATCTATCAACCCCAGGCAGTGATGACGATGACCTATGCGCACGGGCCATGCCGCACCGCCTCCAGCAGGTCTCGGCGGAGGGGTGAGTATCTTCTACATACGCCGCCACCAGAAAGTCATCACACGGTAGAGTACCGGTACTTTGCCTGCCTGGTTCCATGTTGCACACGTTCCGGAACCTCCTCCCATTCTTTCAGCCTGGTACAGAGCCGACAAAACCACCGCCGTTTTGATACCTAGGTAGGAAGAGCAAGGCCGCGCTGGCAGCTATCTCTTGTATTCATACCTAGACAGTTCTACGAATTATCTACGAATTATCTGTTGAATGACAGCCAGGTCAAATTTGTAGCAATTACTCACCTTGTTAGCAGGCAGCTAAGGCAGTCTGCAACGATTGCTTGCAGATGTCTTAGCCATATCGACCCAAGACACCCTCCGTTTTTGTCAAATCGCGTTGTTCTAATCAGCACTGGCCACCAAGGCCTACCTACCTATCCAATTCAGACGCTTTCAGCGCCCCATTCTGGATTGGGTTTGACTGGTCTTATCACGCGACGACTAAAATCGAGTGACACAAAGCATCTTCGACCCCCTTCTTAGACCGGCTGTGCCTTGTGTCTATCATCTTCAAGCCAGATTGTAGAAGCTTGCTCATATTGACAACGTAGTTTGCATTGATTAACTAGCCCTCCATTATTACGTCCATTTTCTTGTTATTAATTCTCTGTATTTCACTGGCTTGCGGACAACTGGGCGCCTCCGACCAGACCTTACCCTCCATGTTGTTAGGTCTGAAACTGAAATCAACCCCTTAATTTTTCGGTGGAAAGTAAAATCTTCATTGGTCCATATGCATAGCATTGTTTTTTTTGCTCATGATATTTTGCAACTTGTTTGAGGTAGTAGATGACTTCAAGCAAAGCATGCTCAATGGTTTTGCCCGATTGGCATTGGGGGGGTCGGTCCCTTCGTCGACTCATAGCTCTCACTCGATGAGTCCCTTTTTTCAGCCTATTAGTCCAGTTTGATCACAAGATTTACCTGCCGTCAAGATGCCCACAAACCTCATGTCCCGGAACGCACGCGCTTGTTCTCGGCGGTTGATTTTCGATGGCAGCTTCTCACGGGGCACCAACCTCGTTGTGCCAACGGAAATCTCGCCATCTACAGGTCCTCGTTTTCCCACGTGGTTCGAAATAGAGAGACTACTGAGTATTGTTAGATGATTCGAGGGTTTCCTGTGAATGGTTTCTCCTTGTTTCTCCTAGAGCACAAGCAAAAACGCATCCACCCATCCCTGTATCATTCTCCCAAGGACTAACCTTCCCGAATCAGACAAACTTGTAGGGGCTCGTCCTAATGATACCGATGACACCGAAGGTACAGAGATCATGTCATTGTCATCTGCGTATGGGTGTTTTCTGGCTCCAGTGTCTTGCATGAACAAGGGAGGCTGCGAACCTTGTGGCCGGCTACTTGGTACGTTCCGCTTGAGAGATCTTTTTCCAGCATTTGAGTCCTTCGCCATGTAGTAATCATCACTGCGAACCGTTGCAGCGTCAGTGTGAAGCGACTGTGTCGCAGAGATCTCATCATCCCTCTCGCTATGGCTATGCAATGTCGTCTCCTGCTCCACCAATCGAATCGACGGGGAAGTTGGTTGTTGGTGGATGTTTCGATCGTTGAAAGAGTCGCTCCTTGGGAAGGATTTCTGGCGACAGCTAGCAGATCTAGGCGTTCTATTATCAGACGCGCCCAGAGTGTTTTGATGGCAACTCCGAACAGAATCTGTGCTCGAAATGGTAGAAGCTCTGCCCATCGGCATTCGAAGCATAGCACCCAGCCGATGGCGCCAGCTCCGTCTGTCTGACTCGTGATTGCAGTTCTGCGACCGAGTAGTCCTAGGACCAGCATCCATCTCAACAGGTGATCCTTGAACTATAAGTCCACCGCTCATCACTGGTCCAGATAGGAAGGGCATCGGTGTCGGAGGTCTTGGGAGTTGTTGATGGGCAAGCACGTAAGGTTGAGCTTGAGGGAACGGTATAAAGGTGCTTCCATACACGGGCTGATGGGGGATTGCATGTGCTGGAGGGTTTGGAAGCTGGCCAAGGGATATAACCTCAGCATTGACGATTGATGTTCTTGGAACTCGGCGTCCACCAGGAAGCGATACAGATCCTCTCTGCTTCTTCAAAGTTGCGAGCTTTCCAAGGTAGCACATCCAGAGGACAGCTAAGAAAAGGATCACAACAATTACACTAAAGATGATACCAAAGTGCTGAGCAGGAGTAAGGCAGTGCCACCCAAAACAATAAGATACCCCGCGGGGCATTTTTGGATCGTCTGCCATAGCAAATTCACCTCGTGGAATTGTCGGTTATAGAGTTTCGACCAAGGTGGAGGGCGAGGAGGAAGCTGGCGATGTTTAGAGATGAATCACCGAACGAATGTTTCTTCCCTTTCCTCAGTGAAAAAGGCCAAAAATCTAGCACAAGCTCGACCTCACCTCAACCTCACCCTCCTCTGACATCAAACTTAGGGCACAAACGGAACTCCATTACCTGGACTCCTTCAAACCACAAATGCACCATATCCCGTAAGGTACATCTCCCTTATTTCCTGGTATTCAGAAATACCAGTAATAATTCCCAGCGGCAATCAGTTATAGCTAGATGTAACAAAGATAGCATCGCATTGGGCCTAGGCTTGGAATATGATTGTTCTTGCGATGATCATGTTTGCACTCAGATATGTGAGGCGAGGAAAGAAAGAAGACTACATAAGCTAACCCAGACAAAGGTGATGAAGCATTTGCCCTACAGCCACCTCAGCACAGTTGCTCTAATCGCTAATTCATGAAAAGGGAGTGTGATCACGGTTTTGATGGAGTCCAGTACGTACCTTGTTCAACTTGGGTGGAGCACGGGCCATCAAACCAACCCATGCAACGAATAACTTTAGTTTGCCTTCCTTCTCAGCTTGCGCAAACGCGACCACAACCGCCTCCCTTCCACTTGGCGCTTTATTCACTCCCTCTCGGCCCACAATCAGGTTGAACATGATCTCCAAGTTCTGAACGGTCGATGCATCGATTCTTCCTCGACTCAGAGCTGACCCCGTAGCTTCGCAGTGAAGCGACGCGCTTCTTCGACGTTTCGCCTTGCTTGCACCCCATCATCTGCACCTCGAGCGAGCCTCGAGTCGACCGATTATTTAATTCAGCAAACTTCCCGGCGAACATATAAGCGATCATGGCGACAGCATTGCAGAATGGCAATGCGAAAGACGGCACGAATGGCGACACCAATGGTCCCAAGTTGACGAGGTTCTCTAACGTACCCGCGTCGATTGAGGTCCCAGTACAAGGTGACCAGGATGACGAAGCCGTCGAAATCGATCTCGAGGACCTTGGCGACGATCCCACTGAGCTGTGTACGCTTTTTGAAAACGAACGAGCTGCGAAACCCTACTGGATGGCTGTGGCGCTTGCCTACGCCAAGCAGGGGAAAGTTGATCATGCCATCGAGATGCTGCATCGTGGCAGCGTCGCCATCCAGTCGAGCATTGCAGCCCAAAATGGAAACACAGGTCAACGCGACAAGGTCAGCATGATTTGCTGCCTGTGTTGGATGTATCTGTGGAAGAGTCGCGAGGCTCCTCGTGTCGCACCAGAAGGGACGCGGGTTTCAGAGGCCAAGACCAAGGACTACTACCTCCAACTGGCGACCTCCTCCTTGAACGACGCTGCCCGCCTCAATCCTTCGTTTTCTCCCATGTACCTCGCTCGAGGCGTCCTCCTCCTCCTAAGGGCTTCGCTCCAAGCTCCTCCCAAAACCGCTGGTGGCACAGGGTCAGAGAAGTTCGAACTGCTCAAGACGGCCGTCAAGGCCTTTGAAGATGCGCTTCGTGTCTCGCAAGGCAAGAATATGCTTGCTTTGATGGGGAAGGCACGTGCTTTGTATTCGATGCAAAAGTTTGCAGATTCATTGGCGATCTACCAAGATGTGCTAATGAAAATGCCCGACTTAATCGATCCTGACCCGCGCATTGGTATTGGATGCTGTTTCTGGCAGCTTGGATTCAAAGATGATGCCAAGGTTGCGTGGGAGAGAAGCCTGGAGCTCAATCCGAACTCCAAGGTCGCCAATATTCTGCTAGGGCAGTCATATCTTGATGCCAGCGGTCACGTTCCAGTCAACAGCGATGAATTTCTGAAGCTTTACAAGAAGGCCATGACTGAATTCACTCAGAAGGCGTTCAAGCTAGACAAGGACCTTCCGCTCACATGCTCGACCTTCGCGGGGTATTTTCTTTCCAGGAAGGCTTGGGACAACGCTGAGAAGCTTGCTCATAAGGCCATTCAGTATACGGATGTCAATGCCATTGCCAGTGATGGCTGGTACCTCTTAGCCCGCAAAGAACACTATGCGGGTAACACAGAAAAGGCCAGTGACTTCTACCGCCGTGCTGACGACGCCCGTGGTGGTGCAGATACAGGCTATCTTCCCGCCAAATTCGGTGTAGCCCAGCTCTCTGTACTAAAAAACGAACTGGGAGAAGCCAAATTGCATCTCGAAAAAATTATTCAGCAGTCAAAGAATTACGAGGCAATGATACTGCTTGGAACATTGTATGCTGAGGAAATCTTCGCCAGCCAAGACAGTGACAGCAAAGAGGACAAGAGCGCGGAAATCAAGAAAGCATTTTCCTTACTGGAAGGGGTCCGAAATGCTTGGAAAGATCCAAAAAAGAATTTGTCACCCGATGCCTCTGTCTTACTGAATCTGGCTCGCCTATATGAATCAGAAAACCCCGAGAAGGCCCTCCAATGTCTCCAGCAAGTGGAGCAGCTGGAGCTTGACCAGATTCCTGATTCTGAGTACCCGAAGGACATCACCGACGAGAACGAAATTCGCTCTTCACTCAGAAAGTTCCTCCCTCCTCAGCTTCTAAACAACATTGGTTGCTTCTATTCCCAGGCAGAGAAGCATGAGCAAGCCAGTGAAATGTTTGAGGCAGCGTTAGAGGCCTGTGTTCTAATTGGCGAAAGAGATTCGACAGCGGATACAGATGGGTTGGTCTCCACCATCAGTTTTAACTTGGCCAGGAGCTATGAATCAAGGGGGATGACAGAGAAGGCTATTGAGGTCTACAACGGGCTGCTCGCCAGGCACGATGACTACACCGATGCCCGTGTCAGGCTTGCCTACATTAAGCTGCGCAAGAATCCAAACAAGGAGGGCCCGGATGCGGTTGCGAAACTCTATCAAGAGAATACATCCGACTTGGAGGTTCGAGCACTCTTTGGATGGTATCTGGGCAAAGTCCATTCAAGGAAGCGGCCAGCCAATATCAACGAAGATCACGAGTTCAGACACTACAAACATACCCTGCAGAACTATGATAAGCACGATCGCTACGCTCTTGTTGGCATGGGTAATCTGTACCTAATGCAGGCAAGAGAAATGAGGCGAGACTCCGATCAAGAAAAGCAAAAGCGCAGTACGGTGTACGGCAAAGCTGTGGAATTCTTCGAAAAGGCGCTGTCACTTGACCCCAAGAACGCGTATGCCGCCCAAGGCATTGCGATTGCTATGATCGAGGACAGGAAGGACTACAAGACAGCTCTATCGATACTGCATAAAGTTCGCGATACCGTGCAAGATTCTCATATTTTTGTCAACCTTGGCCACACATATGCTGAGCTCCGACAATTTACCAAGGCCATCGAACACTACGAGATTGCCCTGACCAGAGATGGAAAGGCGAATGACCCTGTTATTCTTGCATGCCTTGGCAGAACTTGGTTGAACAGGGCCAGGACCGAACGTGAGATCGAATTCTACGACAAGGCACTCGAGTGTGCGAAGAAGGTATAATTCAACTTGCTTGTGACGTAAACATTTTACAAGCCAGGGCTAATCTTGATATTTAGGCATTGGAAGCGGCGCCTGATCAGGTTCACGCAAAATTCAACGTGGCGTTCGTGCAGATCCAACTAGTAAGCGCCATCTACGGCTTGGCAGAGAATCGCAAGACATCGGCGCAACTCGAAAAGGCGACAGAAGGTCTGGAGGCTGCCATCGAAACTTTGGATGAAATTGCCGCCCACCCACAACCACCCTACCCCAAGCATGATCTGGAACAGAGAGCTAGCATGGCCCGAAACACCTTGCGAAAACAAATGGAACGATCAACTCTCCAACAGAAGGAATGGGAGGAGAAGAACAGGGAAAAGATTGAGTTGGCTCAAAAGCAAAGACAGGTGGAAATGCAAAAGCGTGAGGAGGAGCGCCAGAAAGCCCTTGACCAGGAGCGAGAGCGACAGGACAAGATTCGCAGAGAGCGCGAAGAGATTCAGGCCAAGGACCGAGAGCGTGCTGAGGAACGTGAGCGGGAGAGGAGGGAAGAGGAGGAGCGCAAGCAAGCAGACTTAACAACGGACGAGGAGGGTGAAAAGGTGAAGAGGAAGCGAAAGGCCGCCCCACGGTCTACCGAGGACAGACCAAAGCGCCCAAGGAAGAAGAAGTCCCGGGCCGATGGGTCTGGCGATGAGGATGATAACGCTGACGAGGCTCCTCGTACCAAGAAGAAGCGCCGCCTCACGAAGAGGGACGACCCGAAGGCCAAGTCGGACGCGATTATCTACGACAGCGATGAGGAGGCAAACTACGATGCGCCGGACGCCCTCGAGGAGGCTGAGAGGAACCTCAACAGGGATGAAACACCACTCTCTGAGATCGAGGAGATGGATGTTGACGAGGCAGGCAAGGACGACGATGAAGACGGTGAGGAGGCAGCTCCGCGTCAGTCCAAGAGAACACGCAGGGGGCGTATCATTGATGATGATGACGAGGACGAGGATGAAGAAGCTGCCGCAGCTGACACAAGCATGAAAGAGGTCGAGGAGGAGGACGAGTAGAGATACTCGACCCGCAGGTTGATATTTCTCCAAAGATTTGTAACCATATGTCTTTTTCAGCTTTCATTCCGGCTTTTTTGTGCCGTGTCGTTTTGTTTGTATTTCATCTCATCCGGTCGAGCAAAAGTTACATTACTTAACAGGCGAGGGAGAGAGGGCTTGGGTACTTGATCCTAGAGCGAACACATATAATTAAAATGCATAAATTGAAATTGGACCTTGTCCTGGCGTTCATGATTTCAACGTTGGTTCTTTTTTTTATTGTAAATCCGCCGTCCCTGACAGTCGTGAATATCTCGCCTATCACAAGTCTAGGTACGCTCATTATAAGCGGAAGAGGTAGAAAGACCAAGAATCATCTGATAGAAAAGAGTAAGTATCGGCTAGTGCCTACACTAAACTTGAGCCATACAATCCTCAAGATTGGCCAAAAGACCAGCAAATGCCATAGGGCGGAATACGTGCCGTGGCTAGACATCTTACGGACGATCACAGCCGGCGTGAATTGTAGCTTGCAGGCCGCGAGAGATGATTTGTGAGAGTTTCACAGGGAAGAGAAGAAAAGGAAGGTCCAGGCCCTCTTAACGAAAGCCTCTTCAGGGGGCAACAATAACAACACCAACCACCCTTCGGAGGCAACTGACTCTCCACGGAAATGTCGTGGACAGCACTTTCTCACTATAGCTTCCATAGGGGGGCCATGTTCCCTCTGCTGCGACTGTCACAGGTCGATTCATCAGGATAAAACTAAGCTCGGCACGAAGATTGTTTGCTATTTCCGCAGAGTCTTTTCTCTCTCATACCAGAAGTACAGTCGTCTATATAACTCTTCTCATGCCTCAGGCCAGGACGCAGCAGATCGATGCTATACAACGAGACAATAAAACAACAAGGAGAATAATACTGACATATAAATGACGCCAACTCCCTACCGGATATAAAAAAAAAATAGGCCCTTTTCCTTCGCCCAATGGTAGTAGTAGAGAAGTAAACACGAGGCAACATAATAAATTGGGTAGTATAAGAATGACATATGTCGAGCATTTCTTCCTTGCTTGGGGGGGTCGTTCATTTATTTCAGCTTCTTCTTCTCCTTCTTTTTTCATTATTTCTCCTAGGAAGACAAACAGAGGGGCCCCTCAAGGGTCATGTTATCACAGCCTTTTCACTCTCCTCAAGAGCTAGCCGGAGTTCCCGATCTGGTCTCATCAATAATGCCAGCTAGCCTTTGCCTGACCTTCTCTTTATGGCTGGAGAATCTGAGATGGGCTTCGAACTTCTGCGCCGTCATGTCGGGACCAGGGGTGTACAGCTTAGTCGGGCAGTCAAGACAGCGGATGCGTGGGAGCCAAACATGTTTTACGCCCTCGGGCACAGGTTGGGTCTGGACAGGCATTTCCGTGACAGGATCGAGGTAAGAATATTTCATCATAGCCTCAAACCTATCATTGGGGTATTGCTTCTGGAGCTCTCGAAGGGCTTCATGAAGCCACTCTGGCGGAGGAGGCTATAATTTTCAGCGTGGTTAGCTCAGGTCGACATCGAATGAAGCTTGTTGGCATCTAATGCCAGGTGTTGGGCTCAGAACTTACAGCAGGAGGTGGCGATTGCCCGGGAACTAAGGGAGGAGCGGGCAAGCGTCCCAGCTGACCAGCAGGGAATGTGTATGTGGTGGGCGCCTGGGGAGTTGTAGAAGAAGTCGCAGGTGCAGGGGCAGTAGGTGTGGGAGGGGGAGGAGGCATGGCTTTGGCAACGGCAGACGTGCCAAAACCGTGGTTGTGTGACATCGATGGCGTTTGTGGCCCTGCAAGAAGTCGTCGAAGCTTCTCCTTGTCGACCTTCAACTTCACATACAGATGAAGTGGTTCCTCTGTCTCCTCCCTGAAACGACGTGATGTCCTAGTTTCATGATGATGTATGGCCGCAGAAGCCTCTGGTGTCTCTGAACGACCCAAATTGGCCATTCTCTGTGCGGCTGCAGAAGCAGCTCCGCGCATACCTCTTGTACGTGCGGTACCTTGGGCGAGGTATGATGACGGCGCGGGGGAGTCGGGTGCTGAGTCTTCGCTCTCATCAGACTCGGACAAGTCTCCATCACGAACAGGCCGCTTCCTGTTGGTACCAGCAGCGCGCTTGTAGAGCCTACTCTCTTCCAGGTTGGGTGCTGAGCCCGGCAAAACGGATGAAACTACCATCGTTCTTATCGTCCGTTGTCTCTCCTTTAGGTCGGGAAGCTGAGGTCCGCCCCTTCTGTTGATCGACCTCTTCTGTCGTCTCTGCTCACGGGAGAATATCGTTTCATTCCTCTCTAGATCAGCATCAGAGAGCTCATACAGATATGGAGAATATTCCTTGGCTTGCTGCATTGGTCTGAACACGGTTTGCAAAGGAGTCTGAAGAAAGGCAGAAACAAGATCAGGGTCCTCCACTGGACGGCCGTCGAAGGGATGGCCAACACTGTACAGGCTCCTGGTGAATAGTTGAGATTGCTCGCGGATGCAATGAGCAATGGCAGTTGTGAATTCGCCTGACAAGGAGAGGTCTTGTGCCATGTTCGACGCAAATTCCTCTGGGGAGTTGGATGGGTTATTGATCTCCCATTCAAACTGATCAACAAGAGTGTGCTGGCCGATTGTGATGTTAAGCTTGATCAACACACGCATCTCGTCGTTCTTGTAGGCCGAGTAAGGCAATTCGGGATCAAGGGCGTCTTCGTCGAAATGGGCAAAAGGGTAAAAATCGTTCAACTGGTCGCGCATCTGCGTGACTACTTGCTCATACACAGCCTGTGCGGCTGGGGCGGGTGGCTTGAGGCCCATGTCCTCCACCAGCTGTGAGGCGAAAACCTCGACATGGACAAGCCTCTCGTGCAGATTCCATGTGAAGGTGTCGCGTAGACGAATTTTGTCCCACTCCACTTCTAGCCGGACGGGGACCAACTCTTCATGCTGTTCGGCTTGCTTTAGCATATCCTTCCGCTTGTATCTAAGAACGGGCGCGACTCTTCGGCCAGGTCGCATCTTCTGTGAAGGATAGACGATTCTGGAGGGGCCCTGGGTTTCCGTGTAGCCATTTGCGTATCCGTTGTATCCTTCTCCGTAGAGGCGGCTCGGGGGAAACCATTGGCGGTATTCATTACGAATTGCCTTGTAGTCGTGTATCCGGTCACGCGTTCTGCCTGTCTGCTTGCGAGTCTGTTCTAGCTGTTGTTGGAGGGCAGCGGCGGCAATGGAGTCGCGCATCATATATCTCTCAACCATGAGCTTGTTGAACGACTCCTTGGTGCGAACAGGCACCTCCATGACAGTCGTCTCGCCAGTCGGGCTGCCGTCGGTTTTGGTGGAGCCATTAGCATTTTCGTCGGCTCCCAGGGCGGATGTCGTTGCCGTCGCGACGCCTCCAGTCGATGAGGTTGCTGATGCCGGGGTGAAAGGTTGAGCAGCCATTCTGGGAAGCTAGATGCCCAGAGCAGACCAGATGGTGCGGTGATGGCTGTGGTGGGAATGCGCTTCCTTTCCTCCTTTCCCCTTGCGCGCGTCGCTGCAGCACACGATGCGACGCCTCGTGTGCAGTTCCCGTCAGCGTGCCGGTAAACGGCGTCAATAAAGGCGTCAACGGCGTCGTCGAATCGATTTGGAAAGCGCGAAAAGCTCGAGGTGATGTGGGACACGACTGGCGGTTTCGTTGGGAGACGTGGTCATGCGCTCCGCGCGGAATGGCAGCTTCATAATCTTGCAGGCAAAATGCGAGAACGAGTTGAATGTTTAGCCAGGAGAAGGCTGAGGCAGATGGGACATCAGACATTGTAGCAGTACCTGCTTTTCTGCAAGTTTCATGACCAAAATTTGTATATATACATGACTCCAGCCTTGATTTCGTTGGCCAATCATTGCGCGTTTTTTTCCTGGCTGTGGGCCTACATGTGCTTCCAGACATGGTGGTGTAGGGTAGCCCAAGACAATGGTCATACATTAGCAGAATACCATAGGGAGTATAAAACGCCGTGTTCAGCCTTGGGTAGGTGAGCGATGGTCCTGGAATTATACTCTGACGTCCATATGATGGTTTACTGCCTTGATATTATGCGGCTTACTGTTTTTCACCACATCTGAAGTTGGTCTCCAGGACTCTAGGGGTACCATGGGTTATTAAATATGTAAACCTTAGGCATTTACAAGTAGGAAAGCATACTAACTAAGAACTTATATATCACGATACAGTGTTGCAGGGCACCACGTTTTGACGGAATCATTTCAAACGGCTACGGAATAGATCTGATACAACAAGCGCTTAACTCCCTACCTTACCTACCTCTACTTATGTGCCGAGGCAAGCACCAGGCTAAGATACGCCAACGTCATTGATGCACGCTACCCTATACATATCTTCTGCTCTTCCTCCACGCCTCTGCTTTTGTACAAGTGTCGATGCGATGGACTGGCAAAAGAAGAGACGCCAGCCAGGAGCTTTGGTATTCAATACAGTCACGGCTTGGTCAAAGTGTTGCATCGGGTTTGGTCTAGCGCAGTCGCTTGTGGAAAAACTAAGTCGTTGCGTCACTCCTACCTCGACGGCAAGGAGAATGAGGTGGAGAGCTCTATGCGGGCTTCTTGTGGGAGGCTTAGCAGGAGGTACCGCACAAGCTCTTTATTTGTATTTTCCGTTGACGCGTTTTCACGTTACACTACAAGGGAAGCTCAGATGAGGCAGCTGATGCTGCAGGCTGACAAACAGAAGGACCGGAATCAGATCCTCCACCATCCAAAAGCTCGCAATGGGCGGTTTCGAACCTCTCGAGCGGCTATTCGGGGTGTGCAGGTACTTTGTCCGGAGCTCTGAGATTTGGGCGAATTGTGCGTAGAGCTGGGCGCAGAGGTACAGGGTACAGGTGCTTGGGAGGGGTTTCGAGGGCGACTGCCCCTCCAAGCTGTGGAAACTGGGCCTGCTGAGCAAAACCCCACCATTTTTGGTACCATTAACCCTTCCCACCTCTTGCTGGAACCCTTCATGCACCCGATTCTTCCTCCTCGATCTAGTTTGCAACCACAAATAAACATTCGCTGAGCTGACCAGAGGTCTTCAAAAGCTGCCCATCATGTCTGACGAAAAGGAGACCGGCAAGGAGACCGGTAAGTCAACCCTGTTTGATCTGTACATTAGCAATTCCACAACATCATCTCTACTCAAGCCTGCTACATCCTGCCCCGCCATTGCATCGCAGGTAGTCATTGGGCTCTGGCACACGACCACTGGCGATGTTCCTGGTTCTATCAAGCAGACCCCGCGGTGACTGACGATTCACACAGTGGATTACACCCTGAATAACCCCGATACTCTCACCAAGTACAAGACTGCGGCTCAGATCTCCGAGAAGGTCCTCGCCGAGGTCTCCAAGCTTGTCGTTCCTGGCGCAAAGATCGTCGACATCTGCCAGCAGGGTGACAAGCTGATCGAGGAGGAGGTTGCCAAGGTATACCGAGGCAAGAAGGTCGTCAAGGGTATGTGTTCAGTCTGGCCTCGCCACTCGGTTCTCTGGATTAACGCTTCTGGTCTTTCAAGGTTTCTCCCACCCCACCACTGTTTCGCCTTCTTCCTATGTTACCCCATACACCCCATTGACATCCGACGAGGCTGAGGCTGCTACGGAAATCAAGGCCGGAGAGGCCATCAAGATCCAGCTCGGTGCCCAGATCGACGGATTTGGCTCCATTGTTTGCGACACCGTTGTCGCTGCCGAGAAGGCCGACGAGGTCATCACTGGCAGGACTGCAGATCTGCTCCTGGCCAACTACTATGCCAATGAGCTTCTTCTCCGGCTACTGATCCCTCCCGGACTGCTGGCCCAGGGTACCGACGAGGAGAAGGCTAAGGCCGCTGCCCAGAAAGCTCCTACCCAATCCAAGATCACCAGCCTGCTTGAGAAGGTCACCGAAGCTTACGAGACCCACCTTGTCGAAAGCACCACCTCATGGCTATTCGCTCGTAACGAGATTGAGGGTACCAAGAAGATTGTGCTTGCCCCTGCCGAAGGCACCAAGGGTGATGGTGTTCCCGAACTTGGCGAGGTGTGGGGTGTCGAGATGGGTGTTAGCTTGGGATCTGGAAAGGTCAAGTCGATCGACCAGCGAGCTACTCTCCACCGCCGAACCACCCAAACTTACGGTCTTAAGCGTCCTACTTCTCGCAAGGTTCTCTCCGAGGTCCAGAAGAAGTTCGGAACCTTCCCCTTCAGCTTGAGACAGCTGGAGGATGAGCGTGATGCCAAGTCTGGAGTTGTGGAGTGTGTCCGTGGCAATGTTTTCCGTCAGTACGAGATCATTGGCGACAAGGAGGACTCCCCCGTCGCTAGGTATTTGACGACTCTCGGTAAGTGAAGGCAATGATAAATCATCACTGCGTGAATGAGAACAGAGAAGACTGACATCCAAATGTTACCAGCCCTCACCAAGAATGGTATCACCAAGCTTGGAGGCCCCCCTCCCCTAGATCTCTCCAAGGTCCAATCGGACAAGAAGATCACGGATGAGGAAGTGCTCAAGATTCTTGAACAACCCTTGGCAAGAAACACCGGAAAGAAGAACAAGAAGAAGAAGACCAAGAAGGAAGGTGGCGAGGAATAAACACAACTAACTGGAAGATCTGGCTGGGGCCACTTTCACTCCTGGTATCGAGTATCGCGAAAAAAAACAATTGAGGGTAGAATGTTCCATAAAATATTTCCGACCACAATTCCTTTTATCAAGCGAGCAGAGATGATCGCAGAATCTCGGCCTTAAAACAGGATCGAAAGTTTAATTCGGGATTGTCTGGATGATGATTGATTTGGATCCGAGAACATAAGACAGTTCGTGTTGGTTGAGCAAGTGCCCTTCATAGTAGTCGGGTGCAGTGAAGCCGTGATATCATATATTTATTAACATAGATATCCAATACCTTCGGCCATCACAGGAACTGGGCCCTCGATTTTCTTCATTGCTAGAGGGACTACTTGCCGTGTGCCAAAGCAAACAGCCGGAACAGGGAGACAGCCACGAAGGTGAGCACTTGAACCTTAATTTTGCCAGTGTGATCAACATGTCGCATTATGCCGTCACCAAACCGCGGTTTGTGGGCAACCAGCGGGCATGTGGAGGTACCACAGTGATTGACATACAGCATGGATGTGAGGGAGTAGAAGGATCAAGTTCAAGCGAGATGCCCAATCCATGGGCTCCGACGCCACTCACTCACGCCCCTCGAGTGGGACTGAGTGTGCCTCATCCGCACCAAGGAAGGCTGCTCCTGGATGCATCCTACCTACCGAAGCCTTGCCAAGTGGGTGGCATCAAACATGGCACATGGCAGGGAGACGTGCTGAGACTGATACGTAAGTTAGGGACTTGCTATTCCTCAACTGAAAATAATAGCCATGCGAATGTGTACATGATACACTACCGCGCTAGGTTGACAATTCTGTTGGAATACAATGCTGCCTGCCTTGAGGCGGTGTGTGGCGATCCACGTGGCCTCCTAAGAAGTAATAAAAGGCAAAAATATGCATGATGGAATAGCGACTCAGAGACGAGGCTCGGTAACTGCTCCGTTAAGGGCCAGGTGCTGGGGAGGGGGTGGGTAGTGCTCAGCTGGCGAGGAGGATGTCGATAAGTGAAGTGAAAAAGGGGGTCAGAGGCGATCTGCTGCAGCTGCAGTGGCATCCTAACACTCTGGGTAGGAGCTCGTAGAGGAAATGCACATTCCAAGTCCTGTGATGAACCGTCCTCAGCAGACAGATACAGCGACTGAGAAACCATGGGGACTTGACTCTAGTGATAGATATTCCAGGGATCTCCTAATCTTACTGGATACTCATCTCGAGATGAGCTCCCAGGCGTGCCAAGTGAAGAGGTCGGTCGCTGATGGTGTAGGCCCTGAATGGTAGTGAATGGGTGTGCCGAGGCGCTGTGACAGTGATGCAGGGTGCGCTGGCGAACCCCCGTAGGCTGTAGTGATACAGGTAGCTTCAGTGACTGCAGGAGATGGAGCTGCACCGCTCGCGCCTGGACCAAGCCTGGACCTCAACCTCGAATTTCTTCCCCTGCCATCCGCCCTCTCCATTCCTCCAACCGCGTCGAAACGAGCTGATGGAACGCGATTTGGTAGCAGAAGTTCATGCTGCCTCTTGACAGACAGGTAAGTGATCCTTAGGACCCCTACGCGACGCGTGCATTGGCTTACCATACATTGGCAGACCTGAAGAGGTGCGCTGCTGCCCAGCCAGCAGGGGGTGGGTTTGCTTGAGCGAAACCTACCATGATCTCGTCAAACACCCGAGCTTCGCGGTCGCGGTACTCGAGTCCTGCGCACCAGCAACAGCAGAATGGAGGAGGCAAGGGAGAAGGGAACGGGACGCACGAGGTGCCGAAGCCCTCGGCAAACGACAGGTCAAGGGCTTTTATGGAAAGATGGCTGGAGCCCTCGTTGCAGAACAAGCCGAGTTTCGAGGAGGCAGGATTGATGCGTCACGGCGTGCTGGAGACGATGGCGCCGTTGGGCACGCTGCCGAAGCCCAAAAGGGGCGGGCAGGAAAACGTTTCGGCTTCTGCGGTGCGCAAGATCATCCTCAGGCCCTCGGGCGCAGGCAGTGCAGCCAAGGCGGCGACGAATGATGCTGCTTCGTCTCCCTTGAGTACCACCGCTGCTGTGGCGGATCTGCCCACCTCCACGGCCAACACCACCACATCTACCACTGCCACCACACCGTCTTCTACGTCTCCTTCTCCCGACATGGTCCCTCCTGCTTCCGCTCCTGCCGCTGTGGCCTTGGAGCCCGCATCAAAGGCTACGAGCCCCCTATCTACATCGCGCAAGCAAGCGCGGAAGTCTCTATCTCTACATAAAGAGGAGTTGGATGATGATGATTATGAGCCCAGGAGGCCTCATCGCAAACAATCTACGATACCCTCACTACCCCCTAAAAAAGGGCGACCGCCTTTGAGTGTACGCCGAAGCTCTCACTCCCAGACCTCAGGCCCTCTGTCACCTGTTAAAGGCCGGCCCAAGATGCAGCAATCAATCGAGACCCGAGGCAACGAGTTTGCTGAGAAGGTGGTAGAAGCGGCTGTGCAGGAGGCACTGGATCATCATCGGTACCCTACCGCTTGGGCTTTGAAAAAGCTCTACGAGGAAAATGCTGGGGACGTCTCATTTGTGACCATGGTTGAGGATGTCTTCACCCAGACTGCCGACGAAAACACACTGCGAGACTTTTCACGTCGCGTTAAGAGGAAGAAACGCGAAGGAAACAAGGACAAACAAGCCTGTTACCGGTTTTTCCAGCTTACGACCAACAGCCACTTCACACCTCAGAAGGCTCTACCTGCCCCATATGCACACCTCATCCACCACGACGACGAGGAAGACGAGCCCGAGCCCGAGCCTCGCGCATCCAAGAAAATCAAGGTGATCCATTCCAAGGCAGCGAAAGCGACATCCCGACGGGCGTCGTTGGCGTCGTCAGCTGCGGGTGTCAACGGCAACAAGCTGAAGACACCGGGGTCGCGGCGGAGAGCAAGGCGAGGATCTGGCTCAAGCGACTCATCCCTATCGTCAGCCATCAGTCTTTCCTCACCCGAGGTGACCCGCGCTCTTGCGAGTCCAACCCCAGCGGCCCGGAGAGCTCGAGCCAAGGCCAAAGGGCAAGAGGAAGAGGCCGTGGTGGCTCCCGCCACCACCAGCAAAGCCATCTCCACTACCGCCAATTCCAACTCGGAACCCCAGTCACAGTCTAGTGGTGCCCCCAAAACCCGGCCAATCACCGCACGGGGCAAATCACTCGCCTCCAGCAAGCATCAGCAGACGGCTGCGTCCAACACATCGCGGCCAAACTCTCCCACACTTTCTTCCTCTGCACACCGTCCCCAACGCAAAAAACGGGCTGCTGCTGATGATGCCAGCATGCCGGGACGCCTCGTTCCAGAAGAGCCACCTGTCAGCAAATCTTTTACTACGCCGTCCGCCAAGAACAGTCTTCAGGCGCAAATGCTCGATGGCTACGAGGACAGCTGGGATCGCCGGCGGGATGCTCAGAAGGTGACCAACAATTACACGGCCCTTGAGAGTTCAGTCAGGGATGGTTCAGAGGAGCAGGTGTCGACGCCTGCCAAGTCGACGCGGAGGTCGACGCGCCAGTCCCTCAACGCGCCCCCGAGCACTCGGGCGACTCGCTCGGCTCGCAAGAGATCCATCGAGGCCAGCGACAGGACTGCATCCCCTATGTCCGTCGTGAATCACGGTGGTGAAGGAAGCTCGGTCATCGGGTCGCGTGCTGTCACGCCGACAAACCTGCCGCCGGCCAAGAAGCAGAAGACTGGTCTTCGCGTGAAGCTATCGTAAGTCATCGCCCGCATCAATCCTTTCATCTCCTTCCAGTCTTGTCGCTATGCTCTTGCCTCTTTCAGAAGATGCGAGGCCGCAGCATGTTGTTGTGCCACTTGTGATCTTTTTTCATTTGTTGACCCAAGAAAAACGCGACATTCAAATGGCCACTGTTTGCTGACTTGGTTTGATTTTCATCTACAGACCTATTAAGAAAAAAGGAGGAACTGCTGCTGGTATTCCTCGTCTACAAGGCGAAGGTCTGACAGGAAGTGCTCAGGGCGCTCAAAAGGAACAGGTTCGTGTTGACTTCATTTTTTTTTTCATTCTCCCCTTGACCCCGGTTTATCCCATCCACCCACCTCAGGGGCCGACTGGCCACCATCAGTCCTTTCCTTTGTTCATCACCACTCTTTCACCATCATCTCCAGGGAGCGCAATGATATCATTATGGTCTGGCCAGCGTCTTTGGAATGGATGGTGTGACGGTTGGAACTGCAGGGCGCATGAAGAAGCATAGACTTGCTTGCTTTGCTTCCCGCCACCCATCACGCAGGTCTCGGCCCCATAGTGAAATTGGCGCACCATCCAGGCCAAGCCAGCATCGACCAGACCAGGGATGGATTCCCTCCCCTCCCCCCCAAAATGCCCAGCCCAGCCACCCGTGTTATTGGGTGAGATGTGCACTTCGCGTGCGTGTTATTTTTCGATGGATCGGTCTCATGGACCGCGTCTGCAGGGATCTGCCGGCAACCCGTTTTTGAGTTGTTGTGGACAAATGAGAGTGTCTCTTGTCAACGACTGCTTACGTTGATACCTTCCGTCCTTGATTCTGATGGACATTTGGCTTTGGACCTGTGGCTAACATTGTCTTACTTGCTATCAATCATTTAGGCTTCTGATAATGATGAATACTGCTCGGCCTGCGGCAATGTGGGCGACGTGGTTTGCTGTGATGGCTGCCCAAGGTCATTCCACTTCGAGTGCGTCGATATGGATCGTGAGGAAGACCTGCCAGCGGAGTGGTACTGCAATGAGTGTCTGGTGAAGAATTACCCGTCGCGCGTTCCCGTGCACAAGGGAGTCTTTGGAGCCGCCCTGAACAACTTGGAAAAGTGCATTCCCCGCGCCTTCAGCCTACCTAAGAAGTTACAGAACCGATTTGAAGGTGTACGCGCTGGAGCCGACGGTGACTACGAGGAGGTTTCCAGCAACCGGGCAGCGCGGAAGAAGACGGCCGGCTACGAGGAGGCGCCCGATTTTTTCA